TTGAAGAACACAGAATGAAATTAAAAATATTACCATCTCTTTATAAGTTATTCTGTCTGTGAATAAATATAAAACCTCGATCTTTTTGTAATCGGTTAAAACAGTAATATCCTTTTAACTATTCAATCAGTAACGTTAAACATTTTTCTCTATAAGATATGGATTGCAAAATAGTAAAAATTTTGAATTTACTATCTTTATCATCATTTCAGCCATTATCTGTCCACTGATGGACATAGGCCTTCCCTATAGACCGTCATAAAGAACGATCCTGAGCCACCTGCATCCACTGACTTCCTGTAATGTATTTGAGATCGGCAACTCCATCTAGTGGGGATTATCCTACACTGTGTATGTGTGCACGTAAGAATTTACCATATCAGCTAACAATTCTACGTTCTTATTAATAGTATAGTAATAACTTGGGTAATTAATTTTTTTTTTATTATTTGATGAAAAATTTGATGGAAAAAGAAAACCTTTTTAGCTTTTTGTGTGATTAGAATTTTTTTATACTACCAATAAACAAGCTAACGACTAACCTGATGGAAAGTTGTAACCATCGCTTATTGACATGAATAACAAAACGTACCCTTCAAGCGCTTACATTTCTAAGAACTAATTTTTTTAAGTTTTCACTCCATATAGTAATTATATCACCATATCATATTTTAACTATTCATACATACTCAAAACGTACGCCAAAGTCACGTGAGTCGTTGTCTGATGGAGACAAATACCGACACAGTCGATTTATGCACAAAAATGAAACAGTTCAACCAAACAAACTTAAACAAAAATTATTTTTAAAAGGCAAAATATAGCTACTGTTAACCAATCAGCAATAAGTTGCATCACAACACTTTTTTTATATTCATCACCCGCTACAATTATATATAGATAACATTCGACGTTTCAGTATCATGTTGTTCCCTTTTTTGCATTTCCACAATGAATACAATTTTCATGAGGCCACTGAAGCGGTAATGTTTATTTATTTTTGAATACCACGGATATGGAATAATTTGGCAAATTGTGCGGTATTATATTCATATTTTATATATCGGTGATTTTATTTATGTTTGTCAATTATTTTATAAGTTATCTTCTATTAAATAAGAATTACTGAACACTTCACAGCGTCATTTAATATCATAGGGAGGTGAAGTATTTTTAATGGGGAAAGACGAATGTAATTTTTTTTTCAATGGATGAAAATAGTATGGTAACCCCGCCTGCGCTAACGGGATACGCTGGCAGAGCACCAGTGAAGAGTGATAAATGAGAATAAAAACAGGCCAGTTAGCCCATCATGATGAATTCATCAGAAATTAACCATGATAGTTTCCAGGGAGAACCGCGAGGAGGTCGACCTGGTTGGGTATATTGCTAGCAATGGGATTCTCAGTCTCCTGACAATCCCTTTCCCCCCAGATGAATGTAATTGGAATGGTAACCCCGTACGCGTTATTGGTATACGCTGGCAAGGCACCAGTGAGTGATGTAGGCGAGGGCCAAAGCAGGTCAGACAGCCCATCGAGATGAATTTTGCAAGAATTGACCGAGATGGTATCCAGAGGGAACTGCGTGCCCGGCCTGATAGAAGCTGATTATTAGCAAATGACTGTTAGGTCTCCATTACTAACAATCCTTCTCATGGTGTTGGAGTAATAATACAACGAATTAATATTTAATTTGGCTGTGTGGTCCCGGCATAAAATGGACCACCCCTTCCTTTCCCATAGGTGTCATAAAAAGCGACTAATGAAACTGAATGGTTAGCAGCGTCCCTCTTAAAACATCGCCAAAACCTTACTGCAGTTACTAATTCACTTGCCAATTATGTCTACTACTGGCAAAACCCCCTTTATGAGGAAGGCCTTTGTTTAGTAGTGGACGGTTAATGGCTGATGACACGATGAATATGTACTTGCAGTTTTTTTTATACAACTTAGAATGGCAAACAAGCTGACGGCTCACCTGATGGAAAGTAGTAACCGTCGCCTATAGACATAAGCAGTACCATGGACATAACAGAGTATACTGTTTCACCCATGATACCCCCCATGCGTTGCCATTTCTGAGGACTCTGGTGTTATTCCTCTGTACCCAGTAAATTCACGCCATATCCCAACCTTCAAACCGAAACACAGCCATGCAAACACAACTGCTTCACGGTTGAAACACGAATGGGATGGGCACGGATGGGAATGGAATGTACTTTCAGTTTTCCTTCTCATACTGTGTGTTCACCTTGACAATTACATATGATATTCGGGAAGAAAATAAATGTTAGAAATAGGAAGGCTAGTTCCTGTACGGAACACCTGAAAACCATCGTGGTTAATTCCTCGTGAATTCTTCACTATAAACCAACTGGCTTCATCTATTAATAGTAGTCTGCTAGCGTATGCCGAATTGCCAATAACGCCAGTAGGGTTAAAATTCAATATTTATCCTGAGGATGAAAAGGATGACAAATGTATGTATGTATGTATGTATTATGATACCATACTTATATCAATGTAATTTTTTAAATACCTTTATACCTTAGAATATGTTGTATATTGATTACTTAAAAATTTAGAACTTTGAATTATTTATTAATAACTAGGATATGTATAGCTGGCTTCTTGTAGTCACGTTTGAAGCTTTTGTGTACAGTGACAGATGACCTAGAAACGTGACTGTAAATGACGTCACTATAACACCCTTAATAGATATATGGTAGGTAGTAATTGCATTAATAATTTACTGATATACTTTATACTATAAAAGTATAGTAATAACAATAAAACAACCTTGAAGTCATTAAAAATTAAAAAAAATATATAATATTTAAATTTTAATTAATATAAAATAATCTTTACTTTGTACAGACATTTCGAATGAATAAATAAGTGTTTTTGTCTTCGATTTTGTACAACATGTAAAAAAAACTGCATACAGCCATTTTATATATTTTGTAATATAGGAATAGAAGGCCAACGTTGTTGGTGTCACAATACATATTTATTTATTTCTTATCACATTCCATAATGTAGTTGGAAAATATCAAAACAACTTTAATTTCGAGCCCTTTTGAGCACAGCAAGTAGGAGATAGGAAGACAACCTTTTTTTTACTTTAGAAATAGTAAATCAATTTCTTACAATATTATCCAATCATTGAAATTGTTTCACAATATGCACGATTTTCTGTATTATTATTATACATTATTTAAATATTGATGTGTATCTATTCATATTATATGTTGTTGTAATTAGTATTGTATAATTATATAGTATATCCATTGTTTATAATTATTAATTATTGTTATTTGTATTTTTTTTATTGGATGAAAATGGAATGCTAACGGGATACGTTGGCGGGCTACCAGTGAAGGGTGATCGATGAGGATGAAAACAGGCCAGTTAGCCCATCATGATGAATTCATCTGGAATTAATTATAATAGTTTCCAGGGGGAACTGCGAGGAGGTCGACCTGGTTGGGTATATTGCTAGCAATGGGATTCTCAGTCTCCATTACTAACAATCCCTTCTCCCCCCTGTTATTTGTATATTTATAATATTATTATTATATCAGCCGTTAACTGTTTACTGCTGAACTGAAGGTTTCCTTCTTGGGGATTTTTGCCAGTTTTGCCACGCTTGAAAAGCAGGTTCGCGACCGCAGTTATATTTTGGTCATGTTTTAAGAGAGACGCTACTGTCTAGCCTTCGATCATTAAGTTCCCTTAGTCGCCTCTTATGACAGCCATGGGAAAGAAAGGGTTGGCCCATTCTATGCCGGGACCACACTATAGTATGTATAGTGTGGTAAATAAAGAACTATCTTTATTTTTTTAATTGCTTTACGACATCTTGAGAATGAGAAGTACTAGTATGTGTTACAAAGTATATTTATTCCGATAACAAAGGAAAATAAACTACACAAAAATAAAGTTAAATTAAAATAATATATAAATAGATGAAAACGACCTCAATATAATTTAGGTCATTAACACGGAACACAAATAATTTGATAGGGGTTCTTTAATTCCCATCTAGAGGAGTACGGATATTAATTTTACTGGAATCTTCGGCACGTCAAGTCTGAATTTATAGTCGTTTAAATACACGGGTATTAATTATGTTATACCTATAGGATTATACCTTTATGTTAGAAATTGCACTGGTCAACAGGAGAACGACACAGTTCATGATAAAAACAGGCAAGACAATGACAAATCAAACATTCGTATGCTACGATAATTTTTTATGTAACTAGGAATTAGAGAAGGGTGATACATATCAAATATAGTTACGATATCTATAAATTAGATCAATATCGGATTATATATTGAACATTAAATTATTCTTTATATAATATAATATAATATTATTTTATTGACATGATTTTTCTATAATAGGTTTTTATTAGAAATTAGAAAATAGCTATTTATTAGAAAATTTAATACAAAATTTCAGGGTACTTGAAATTAAAATTAGAATTTATTTTAGTAATCGAAGTATACATATCAGACTCAGTGGACCCCTCAAACTTGGTGTACATGATGATATTTTGTTTTTTATAATCGATGACCTGATTTTTTTAGAAATTAAATTGGATATCGGACCCGGTGAACTGATTGACCCGGCATAAGCGATGAGAATGAGTATATATGGAATCATACATGCATTTTATTTTATTAGAGTTGGTAAGCCCTTACTTTTAATTTTATTCAGCATGAGCAAAGCCTCGAGTTACAGTTAGTTTTGAAACGCAACGATCCATTCATAAAAGAATCCCTTTCTCCCACGTCAAAACGCGTAGTAATTTTGAACTTCATAACCTCTCGGCTCCGGCCTAATACAATTACACACAAAATGGAAAGCGAAGTACGAAAACATTTCGAAACTCGCCTAAAAGAAATATGTCGTATATTCTACGAACGAAGTTTGGCGATGTTCCAACTTCTCCAGTTTATTTTGAGTAGACCACGATTAGTTGACGGCGGGCTAACCTAATCGATTCTATCGAATTGAATTTGCACATGCTCGCGGCAATTTAAACTCGGTTAAGCATCGGCGAATCGATATTAATCGGTTTATCAATCAAAATCGTTTGTCTAAGTCGATGATTGAAACGAATAAATAAGAATACAGTGTGTGTTACGAAATTGTGCGACAGTTGTATTTCCGTTTTGTAATACATAAACGATTAATTAGTTTCTCGATCAAAATCAACTAAACTAATTATTAACGTTAAAATGAAATTCAATTGAAATTCAGTGTAGTATTATTAAAATGTCTGAGGGTTTTTCCGTTTTGTTATATGTAAACAATTGGTTGGTTTATTAATACAATTCTTTGCCGAAATTTACCATTAACGTGAATAATCTATCAGTGTCGTAATATAATAAAATGTGCTGTGGTGCTGCATATGTTTTATAATACGTAAACAATTGGATTTATCGAACAAAATTGTCTAAATTAATTCGTAAAACAAACAGTTAATCAAGAACACAGTTTATGTTATTAAAAGAAGTTCTATTTTTCCAAAATCAACTTCATCAATTAATTCAACATTGTGCTTTCAAAATGTATGTGTTTTTTTTTTCTGTTTTGTAATTCTTACTAATACTACTAGTATACAAGTAGTATTATATTAACTGTGCTAATACTATAAATATGAAGTAAGTTTTTTTCGCCTCTTAGTTGAACTCTTAGTCGCCTCTTACGACAACTAGGGAAGAGAAAGGTTTGGCCTTTCTATACCGGGACCACACGGTTAACGGCTTAATTAGCCACTATGAAATTCGAAATACAAGTAGTATATAGTATAGGGATGGAGAAGGACATAGACCATTATTTATCCCATATAGACATATCCCGGTCACGCGGATGAAATCAAAAGAAGTTAGTACGTAAATAAAGTTGTAATCAAATTATGTTTATAGTTATGTATGTTTAATTGCAGGTTTGTAATATATATTATTATAGCATTATTTAATGCGCCCGTTGTGTTTGGTGCTCAGCAAGGAAAATGCGATCAAACGCCACCACAAGCAAAAGTGTTAATTCCAAGCAAAAATAAAGGCACATACAAACTAACTATAGAAACTAATCAGCAAATCCCGTTTCTGTTCATGCCGGACCAGACATATGTTGGTAAGATTTATTTATACTATCTCGGTATTTATCATAAATGGTGTAACTTTGTAGATATACATAACGAAAAACTGTTCTGAAACACCAAGAATGCTATCCGGGTGATGCAGAATCGATTCCAGTAATTAAAAAAAGGGACATAATCGTGCTGCAGTCTGTTCTTTTTTAAACCAACTTAAAAAATGGAGGAAGTTCTCAATTTTGTTGTATTTTCTACCATTGTTACCTTTTCATCGCTTATAAACTCGCTCATCATTTATAAACGAGATGATTTTTTTTTTATCTAAAAGAATTCACTTTCAGATTGAATTTTATCAAAATTGGATCAGCACTTTATATTTTAAATTAAAGTAACTGGTTCTGCTAGGATTGAAGTCGGTTTTTTTTTTAATAAAAACTTTAATTATTAAATTATAATTTAAGGTTGGTATTAATAATATCAAAATAATTGTTCTGCATGGATTATATATTTTCAGTCTCTAGTTCAAGGGGCTGCAGCTCATAATTGACCTCATTATTTCGAAAGACGTTTTTGCTTTAAATGTGATGCATGATATAGATAAAGAGTCACGCAGTCAACCCTTTTGTGCGTGAATATAATTGATTACAAATGTATATATAAAAAAAACACTGCTTCTTACTGTACAAGAATTTCTCCACTTCGTAATTAATACCTTTACTAATATTATAAATGTGAAAGTATGTTTATTTGTTACTTCTTAGTGCCCGACAGCTTATAACGAATCAGTATTAAATTTAGTATACACGTAGAAATACATGGAGGACATAAGTTACTTTTTATCTCGGTTCATAAACATATATATCGCGGACAAAGTCATGAATTAAGCAAGTTAGAGATAAATAAAAAGGGATTTTGATTTTAATTGAGGAGCAAAGTGTAGTTACTCAAAATATTTGCTATACATAAATTTTCAGGCGCTTTTAGTGAAAAAAAAAACTAACAAATAACTGCAAGATATCTTATTATAAATCTTTTGGTACAAGAATATATAAACAAACAAATGTTTATTCCTATAATATAAGTAATAAATAGTATTGTGAAATTTTACTAATTACTTAACCTTCCTAGAATCGTTATGAAAGTGAACCGTGAACGATAAGAAGATTTAATTAAAACCTATGTTTTATTGAATACTTATTTACATATTATCATTAAAAGAAGAAGACAGGGAATACTGTTAATTCTATGTACATATCTACTAACAACATAAAGGCAAGCATGTTGGCAATTTGTCTTTACGTATCTCCGGTAAATAATATACTGCAGCGGCAACATACAAATATACATAGTTATTAATGTTTTTTATACATTTTCAACAGAGTGAACAAATTGCCGTTTAGTCTCATTGGAAAGTGGTAGCTGATATCTATATATAGATATGATAGATAACACTGAACATAAATTATGCTGTGACATTATTATAATATAATTATAACGTATCCGTAAGATAGCCGTAATACTCGTAGGCTCATATTACTTCAAATACAATCTTTTGATTTATGCTGTCGAAATATAAAAATCATCAGCTGAGGATGAATTCAGAAAAGATATTATTATTATTATTTCAGCCCTTAACTAGCCACTGCTGGACATAAGCTTTAACCATAAGGGGGCATTCTATACTGGGGCACACACGGCGATAAAGAACAGATAGCTCATCGTAGTATACGAGTATGGGGGAAAGGGATTGTTAGTAATGGAGTCTAACAACTCCATTGCTAACTATATAATCTGTTGGTTGATCTCCATACGGGATAATCCTCCCTAGGAACCATATTGGTTGACTCTTGAATTCATCAAGATGGGCTAATGGCATGCTTACGTACTCACCTATCATGTCTCACTGCTGTTTTGTCAGCGTATACCAATAGCGCAGGTGAGATTACTATTCAATTATTACCCATCAAAGAGACATGAGTATTAACTACAATGGTCGAGAAGAAACCGCGTAAAAGTCGACAAGATAGGGAATAATGGAATTGTTAGTTGCCATTACTAACAATCTCCATCCTCCCCACCCTACTCTGTACACAGATTAATAAATGAATGAATAAAAATATTGCTCTTCTGCAATAATAAATGTACATTGTTTTAGTAACACTCCAGACACAGAATAACGCCAAACCATTCCGGGCGTTTATGATCACCGCAGAGGATCCAAATGTAGACAATACCCATGACCTCGGCCCAAATTTAGTGGACGTGGGTAGCCTGAAGACTTTGGATACGGAGATTGGCAGGAAGTCCAGATACAGCGAAAGATGTTACAGTTCTGTTGAGAATACTGACAGCTCCGATAAATATAAGATTGAGGTAATTTTTTTGTCATTGGATGAATGTGGAATGGTAATATATATTTGTAGTATATATTTGTGGATCACCAGTGAGGGATGGTTGGTAGATAAAATTAGGTCAGTCCATCGTGAGGAGGTCGATTTGATGGGGTCGCTAAACCCCTGTACAAATATATTTAATTGATAAATAAAATCCTGTTAATATTGTAAACGCGAAAGTTAGCAATGGATAGGTAGATGCCATTCTGTCATGCAAAATTTACTAAATGGATTTCAATGAAATATGGTACAGAGATAGATTATGCCGTAACTTTTTTTTATATAACTTAGTGGCAAATAAGCATACGGCCCGTCTGATTGTAAATGGGCTTCCTGTAGACGCTTGTTAGACCAGGGATGAGACGTGCGCCTTGCCAACCATTAAGAAACCTTTTGAAGAACCCCACGCTATACTCTCTAGGGAAAGTAAAAAATTGCATATATCCTTTATATGCTGATTCACGCGAGTGATATTACAGGATACCATTAGTAAGAAATATATTCAAATAAATAAATATATTCAAAGTTTCTACTTAGCCTTTAGGGTATCGAAGTAATTAGCTGGGAAAAGCAGTCCTACAGATATGAAGTAATGTTCGTTGGTAGCTAAGAGAGTGAATTATTGAATTTAAGAAGATAAAGGTCTTTTTTAAACCATATACAATTGTGAATTTAAAGTGCATTAGCTTCATTTTTTTTTTATACATACGTAATGGAAATATTTTTTTAGATTCATTGGATATCGCCGAAGCAAAGCTACACATCACAAAAAATCCGTCTTCGCGCTATGGTGGCTGAAAACGAAGAAGTATGGTACACTGGAGGAGACGATCTGATAGTGATGATGGAGAAAGACAACCATCCTCCTCTGGACAGTCCACCTCATCCACCGTCTCCGACATGCAACTTGTGCAGTGAAGCGAGATATGAGGTATATTTAAACAGAACTTCATAATAATGTACAATCAAATCTTGTTGAAGTTATTCATAGAAACACTTTCTAAACGAAATTAGTGACAAATCGAAATATCAATGTACTCGTAATATAATAGTAATAATGTAATATAATTATAAATTTTTGATTTGGACTACGGGACTATGGGACTATTGGGCATCAGCAGACTGTTTTATGGCTGAAACAATGTGTGTTTATTTACATTTTCAATAAGTTCTATTGAAATATATTGAAATAAATTTCTTTTTTCATTAATTATGATGCGGATTACAATATGAACATTATGATAGAAAATTAATTATTACAAACAAATTTTGAAGCACAAACGTGCAAATAACACATTAAAATCACAAATACACTACCTTATACACCATTGTCTAAAAAATAATTACCTTTCATTTAGATTTTTTTTAATATTAAACAAGATTTGTTTTACTTTTAACTGGCTTCTATAATATCTATGTTATACCTTAATGCTTTAACTTGGCGATAAAATACTCTTTTTTAAATTAAACTTTAAATTCAATTTCAAACAGGATAAATGATCAAATGTAATTAATGCTACTTTAATTTACTACACTTACCTAATTTTTAGGTTGTTTTTCAAGGCCAGTGGTCGAGATTAAAACATCCATACCATTATCCAAGTAAACCTGACGAAAATGGGTACAGCCATATGGTTGGTGCTTCCCATTCCTATAACTACATCATGTGGAAACAAGGACTTAAGGCCAGCGACGGTTTGAAGCTACTAGCTGAACAAGCTGATGTCACAGAAATGGAGAGAGAAATTATAAATGCGGTATAATTTACATTTTTTTTTACTACCTATTTACTACCTATAAATTTTCGTAACCAGGACAGCTCTAAAAACTGTATAATAAAATGATGAGAAACATATAACAAAGCAAATTACTCCCAGTGATAGCGATAAGCTCGTCCATTGCCACATTGGATAATAAAATGTTCGATGAAATAAGGGTAAATACAGTGCAATGTTTATTCATACTTCAAAAGTCGAGAAATAGCCCTCACTACCTATTAGGGAACATAGAATGCAAAAATTATAATTGTATGCTACAATTTTTTTTTATGCGAAATACAATTATAATATAGGACACTGGCCCTGCAATAATAATAATACAATACATAATAGAGAATAAATACAATCGATTGTATTTATTCTCTATTATTGTCGATACAAAGAGACATACTCACTAATACAAATGTTTTATAGTAGGGAGATCGATCGAATCAAAACCATTGGAAAGCCTTTCAGTGTCAGACCACTATACCATACCACATAGACAGAGGCTCTAACATATAATTTCAGATATTAATTTAGATATTATTAATTCTATTTTAAATTAATATTAGATAATATTAATTTAAAATAGAAAAAAAGTATTGCAACTAAATCGAATCCATCAAATATTAATCAGGGTCCAGGGCGAATAAGCTTCCATCGATACGGTACAGTGTGTGAGCTATTTTTTCGCAATGCTCTCAAAATATTTATTAAAAAAAACTCAATATCCCTTTCTAAAATAAATAAATGTCTACATGCCATAGGGAATCTATTTGCTAAATTTTAACATATTCGTTTGTCATGTAGTCTTTCTGATATATTCGTGATTCGTGAGTAGCATTTCGCTTTTATAATATATATGTATATATATATATACACATATATATATATATATATATGTATATGTATATGTATATGTATATATATATATATATATATATATATATATATATATATATATATATATATATATATATATATATATATATTTATTTATTTATTTATTTATTATACACATAATGTACTATATACATTATACGTGGGTGTGTAGCATTGGCCACATATTAATAGTTTTATATTATTGTTTATTAAATTCGAAATCAACACGCATCTCTATTGTTTCCTTTTGGTTTACCTTTACGGCCCTAGCCTAGTAAGTTCCTTTTGTCAATATACATATACTTCCAATTTCCATTCCTGGTTTCCTTCTGCATAGGGTATATAATATACCTGCAAGGTATATAGAGGTAAAAAATGTATAGTCTAATCGTCTCTTGTTGTTAAATTTTGCAATTAAATAAAGGTTTTGAGATTTTAATGTTACTAAATAAACAAGATATACCTAAAGGTAACTCTCATCGCTTTCTCGAAAAGATTATAGTGATAAACTAAAAAAAACAAACCACAATTACAAGAAAAAATTATACTGTGCTGTAAAAACAATGGGCGCCTTTATCGCTAAAAGCAATCTCATTCAAGAAACATTTGGATAAAGAGCAGTAATTATAAACAGATTGGTAGATGAAATTCTGTACATTTTTTAATGTAATGAAATATATATGGGTATATTAAACAATATGCACAATAATGTCTGTGATGTTACCCCAAAGATATTGTAACTTATATGCATGTGTGCATGTTACATTGCATCTGTACTGGTACGCACACACATAAGCTGCGTTTGATATTGGCTGTATAAAGATGGACTACTCTTTTTTACTTTGATAATATACCACAAATTTTTCTATTCAGATGTCAAAAGAAAATGGAACAAGAACTCTGATAAGAGGAAAACGGCGTCATCATCCATATATGGCGGAACCATCGCAAGCATTATTTCGTGTAGATAGAGAACATCACATGTTCTCTATAGCCGTCGCGATGAGGCCATCGCCAGATTGGTTTTTGGGGACATCTAGGTTTGAACTGTGTAAAGAGGACGAATGGTTGGAATATTACGAAATACCTTTGTTTCCATGGGACGCTGGAACTATGGATGGAGTATCTTACGAGGTAATTGGTTATTTTGTTGTAAAACATTGTTCGCGATGCTAAAATAATATAATATAAATATTATTACTAAAATTATTATGAATTATGAAGTGATTGAAAAATTTCAAAGTGGACGGTATTTGAAACCGCACCTTCTACACTATGCTGGGGATAAACTAATAATTTTATCAAAATCATAGATTAAAATTTTCTTTTAATTAAATATTTATTTAAGTTGACTGATAAATAATGCATGGTCCGTGTGAGGACTATAACAAGGGTATTAAGGTGGGGGCCGTGTGGACCGTACCGATCTCAATATAGTCTGATGCATATCCCAGGACACAAAGCAGAGCTTACAATTATGCGCAAACACATATAGCGTTTAGTACTTTCTGTACACAGTAACTTTGTACACTGAGAGTACCCTTTTTAAAGGGCCAAGCCTCCCCTAGAAAATAATCTTAAATACGCCAATACTTCATTGACGTATTTAAAATGAGGTAGAGTACCTTTTTACTTCCATTTGACAAAAAATATAGGACTCTTCTTGGGAATCTTCTTTTTCCTCACCTCTTCCCTTTACGCGGAATCGATTTTCATGATTATGCGGCGCCGTTGAAAGGCTGAAAATGAATTTATAAAAATATAAAATCTGTGTTCGGGAAAGTACAAAAATACTTACCTACTTAATTTTAAATGGATGTACCCATTGTTCCTGTCTCCTGATATAGCAGGTAACTGAGAAATCTTTGGTATAACAATGTCTATTATAATATTCATTATAATTTTATAAACAGTTTTAGGAAATGATATTAAGTACACATAGAGATTATGTATATGTTCAAAAAACAATCAACAGCTACTTATTTAATTCTCTTCCACGAAGGAAAAATTTTAAATTAATGTTCCTCGCAATCCTTGATCCATTTTGCTAAATCCTATTAATTTTGTAAAAGTTTAATAAGTTTCATACATTTTATGTTGTTTCTGCAGCAAGTGTCAAAGTATCGGAAGTTCTCAAGAATACAATCATGATAAATATTTCGTTAATAATATTTTTAAAAATTAAGACGATATTTTCCATTACATTTAAGCAATATGCAAGTTTGTATTGTTATTTTTTACTTTAAATGTTTGTTAATCACATACAAATAATTTTTAATACAAGTATTCGATCTTGTATCTAGATCTAAGTTGTGATAAAGAATTAATTAATAAAAGCAAAGGAGTGCATCCTTTGCTTTTTTATTGCAAGAAAAAAAAATATCAAATCAGATATCAGATCAGAGCAGGATTAAGGTTAAAAGAGCAATCTTGCAATCAATCAAGCCGATACACCACTCTAGAAGCAGATATTTCATACGATGCGTTCACTTGCTAAATTAAGACGATTTATTATTTTTTGTTTTTAGTCAACACCAACAATGACCCAGCCTGTAGACGTAGTGAAACGAGTTGAAGTGGGTTCCTTCAATAGGGAGTCCCCATTCTATCAAAAGAACTTGAAAGATTTAGCACCCTTCGCTACTCTTCAAGTTAAGAGATTGGACGTGTATCCTATACCAGAAGAGGATTGTCATCAGGACCAAGAAGGTTGATGTATATATATATATATATATATATATATATATATATATATATATATATATTTGATTCCTGTTAATTAATTTGTATTTGTTGCATGTTTATGGTATTCGGCATTTTTAGAAAATCTATGATTCTAATGATGAATCTATGATTTCATTTTTCTTAATTACTTTTTCTGAATTATTCTTTAGCTTGAATTTGAACTACACATTTGTATGTAATGAGACAAACATTATGTATGTTTGTTTCAGTCTTACGTTTCAATATATTTTGCGTTCATATTAGTTGTGTACATAGCATTTTCAATACACTATTGATATTGTATAGATTGTGCTTTAATTATGCACACACAAATATTTTGCCCGTAGTAAACCAGTGGTTGCCTGTAGTAAATATTTTAAAGTTAACTCATGGGCATTTTAAAAATTACTGTCGCTTTACCTCATGCTTCAGAAAGCACATAAAGCCTTTTTCTAGTAAGCCACGTCATTGACCTTTATCTAATAGGGAAAAAAGTCAAGATGATAGATATTGATAAAAGAACGTCCTCTATTGTCAAGAATATCTAAAGTGACATCACCTTTAGACAATTTGTGGTAGATCAATCTAATTCTGGGAAATATCTTTCATTGCCTGTCGAAGCTCTACCAAAAGATGTCAATATGTTTCTTAATATTTCGAAATACTATTTCGAAAGTGAAAAAAGTGTTGTCCTCTCTCCTACTTGCTGTGCCCAACAGGGTCCATAATTGAAATGTTATGTACTAATTATATTATGGAATGCAATAAGAAATAAATAAATAAATAATAATTATACACCTGGTGTAGTATCTATAGGCTACGGTTACCGCTTCTTATCAAACGGACTGTATGTCTGATTGCGAAGTAGTTGTAAGTAAAAAAAAATTTACTTTGTAAGTTCTGTTTGCTTCATTTCGTCAGGAAGGCGAACTTATTATTTTCTATAACCCGTTTCCTGTAGATGCGAATTTCCATCGTTCTAATTAATTTAATTATTTAAACATTAATAAAATTCATATACATATAAAATGCTATTAATTAATTAACTTCATTAATAACATTTGATATTATAAATAAGTTGGTCGAAATTTAAAATGGATTCAAATTTTAGAACCTGAAACGGAATATGACAGTACTTACTCAGGCTAATACTAGTATAGTGAAACTTGTCAAAGTGCATTTTATTTACTTAATTTTTTTTTTTATTTCAGACAATTCTAAACGAAATGCAGAAGAAGGAGATGAAGATACAGAAGAAATGTAAGTGATCGTCTGATTTTTTTTTCTATTTATTTTACTATCTTATATAATCTGTGTATTGTATCGAAGGACCTGAACTAAACCTTGGTATTTATTAAAAACTTTAAAAACAGAACCTTTTTCGAAATCGTCCCTATCTATTGTTGCAAACTAATGTTGAATTTTGACACTGAATTAAATTACAAATAAGTACTCAGGAATACCCACGTATGAGGCAAACATGGACATTATAGTGTATTCTCTCTCTCCCTCTCTGTTTATGTGTATTTGTGTGTGTTTAAGTGTATGCATTGGCGTATTTAACGGCCTGGGTCTTAAAAGGTGTATACGTATTCTTGGATATGTACGTTGTGCTTAGTTGAAAACTCACACTTGCATCCCGGGGTGGGTACTAGACAATTCTGGGATGGGCACGGCCTACCCAGCCCCACCTTTAAATACGCCTATATGTGTATGTTATTCTTTTTTACATGCGACATTTACCATTTTAAAGAGTTAGGCCATTATCTTATTTCTTATTCCAATTTGCATAAAACACATAATTATCATTATTTCAACCGTTAACCGTACACTGCTAAAGATCACTCTTTTCTATAAGGGGAGTTTAATCAATAGTTGCCACGTTTGGCAGGCGGATTGGCAACCGCAGTTAAGGTTTTAGAGATGTTTTAAGAGGAACGCTACTGCTATCCCTCTACCATTAAGTTATTTAGTCGCCTCTTGCGACACCCACAGGAAAGAAATGGGTGGCCTATTCTATAACGGGACCACACGAACACACATAATGTGATTAATTAATAATAAACATCAAATATAATGTAAAGACTTTCATTTGGAAAACATTTTAGGGAAGCGCTAGATGAACCCCAGGCGGCGGAGTCGAGGCAATCCGAAGGAACGTGTAGTGTTAGTGAGTGGAGTGACTGGTCTCCATGTGTCCCTGATAATGGGATTTGTGGAAGGGGGCTACAAACAAGAAAGAGCATTAAAAACGGAAGCACATATAATAACCATATCGTAAGTACAAGATAAATATACATTTAAAACCATACAATTATACTCGTATCAATTGTCGAGTTCTTTAGCTATGAATACCTTTTGTTGTGAGAACGTAAACAGCGAACTCCAGGGGGTGCAACCAAAATCACAGAAGCAAATCTATTTGAACTGACGGTTTTAAAATTGTTTTCAATCATTCGACAGTTGATACATGTTATCATAAATAATACAATTAATACTTGCCAAGCTATACACTTGGTGTTTTTTAATAAATATAAAAACATATCTTTTTTTCAGAGTCAAACTCATCAACAAATCGGTTCACGTAGCAACTGTAATGAAGACGATGCTGTGAGGGTACAAAACCGACATTGTTCTATAAACTGTTAAAACAACACGTGTGTACAATAAAGTGTGATCATATAAACAGATTGTTAATAATGATTAGCTATACCCGTAAAACATGGATATCTATTGAATTTCATTGATTGCTTAGAATGTTTGATACGATTTTATTTATTAGGTTTAGGTACTGCCTACCTTTATATCAGGATTACAATCAAATGACGTAATAATTTGATACCTACCTACTTACCAATTATAAAATATTTAATTGTAAGTACTATTAGTAACTGTTAATTATATTTTAAATAGGTATAGGTAAGTATTATAGAAGTCCAACTGCCTAATTAAGTAATTAGATAACAAAGTATACATAGATTTATGTAGAAGTATTGAATTTAGGTATAAATTTTAATACAAATATATTTTTATTTTAAAATCATCGTCTTTTATTCCTCTCAGCTACGAGAGCCTAAGGCTCTCTTAGATTTATTTTTAGACTCAGTCTAGGCGCATAGATATTCAGAACAGGCGTGTTCGGAGGAGAACCTGTCTTCTTGTTTTTTGCGCGAAAATAACCGGTTCCAAGGAAATGTGAAGTTTCGCCGGCCGGCGACTATGGCGTTGCGGGGAAAGCGCGGGACGCTTCGTCGCACGGTTGTCGTATCAACATTGTTTGCGCCTGTCAGGTATGAATATAGATACAAAGCGCGCATGCTCTGGTACAAGGACCGCCTCGCGTTCGTTCTCCCGAACGCGCGATCGCAACTTGTTGATTGTTCACTCACTTCAAGTTAGTCTGCCGCGAACGATGCGCTGGGCGGTTGTGTCTTGCGTAGTGCCCGTGTTTATTCGGAACTTCGAAATTATTTTACGAAAATATGTGAAGTTTCCAAACATAAATTTGTGCAGAACTACCGTGCAAGACTTAGAGTATAGAGTGTAGTTAACTTAGAACCTTACAATTAAGTAGTTTTAAGTCATTGAAACTTAATAGGCTTACTCGTTTTACCTGCATACTTGGTTCGTCCCACGACTCGCGCGAAGCGGTTGTTACCTTATCGAAGAAACGAACACTTTTCAAATGGATGTGCGGTTATATTTTGTCTGTGATAGTGTACGTGTTTTGTGATGACAAGACTCGGATAGTGTTTTGTCCGAGATTTGTAACAAGTTAAGAAAATTTTGTTGTGTTCTAAGTTGAAAAGAAGAACATGGTTATGTGCGGGGGAGAGACGGGTTGGTTCGTCGCGCTATGCATCGGGGCGCTTGCTTTAGCGTCAGCACAGTTCACAAAAGGTAAAAACCTCTTACCTGTGCACGCGCAATAGCCGTTGCTTTGTTCACTTTTTGTTTGTTTCACGTTTAAAATTTTTAAACGTTCGTTGCGTTCTCATGTGACGTTATTATAATTTAATGTTTAATGAACACGTGGTAAATACATTTTACGGCCGATGACTTGTGGCCGGATCTGACCGATGTTCATTTGTTTGTTGTCATACAATCATAGTTATAACTAGTAATATCCGTTCCAAAATAGGTTTGTTTTATCCTCGTATCTGCTTGTGGAACCCTAGACTGCCCATTGACCAATAAAATGCATGATATTTTATCTTGATAATTGATAAGCCTAGTTATTCACCACACCCTGATATCACTGTTATATTTACCTACTAAAATGAGTAGTTACATTACTAAGTAATGTTAGTAGTTAGTAATGGGGATTAGTAGCCCTATTGCTAGTAATATACCCCGTTAGGTCGACATCTTCGCGATTCCTCTCTGTAAATTATTCTGCTTAATTCTAAGTGAATTCATCAGAATGGGCCAACTTAGGTATTATCGCTCACTAGTACTCCGCCGGCATACCAATACCGTTAGTGCAGGTGGGGTTAGGTATAAGGGTGTCATCGACCATGATTTCATTATCACCCATTAAAAAAAACTTAGGTACTTAATAAATTATTGACCTAAACAAATCTAAACGTCAACTTTAAATCAACTAGGTATGCTTGATAGGATATTTTGACATTACTTTCAAATCTTCTAGAGTATTTCATATTTCTATCTCATTCCTGCAGAATTCGTCACGATTGGTCATTTAACTTGGCTTCATCCTAATATTGCTCATTTATCATCATACATTGGTACCCAGTCTGTGCAGGTATATTAATGGTGTAGGCAAAGTTACCACTCCATTTTCAACAGACTTAAAAAAGAAGGATTTTTATGTTGGTTACCTCATAACTCTATTAGTTCTAAACTGATTTTGGGAATTCTCTTTTTTTCTGAAAATATATTCTTTCAAATAGGAACAGAATAAACATTTTATTAAAATCGGTTCAATAGTTTTATTTATTTTTTTTAACAATCTAACTGGTTTTTTTCACATTTTGTTTTTTTTTTTGTGGAACTTAATCTTTGATTATCATCTCACAAATAACATATGACGTCAAATGTTAATAACCTAAGGATTGTTGAAGATTGTTGTAAGAATGTTAATACCAATAAAAAATCGATTAAATAATAGGTAAAGATCGAAATGGACAGGTATTACGAATTAAATAAATATTTCAACTTGTCTATTGAATAAAATTGAATTCAAACTTGTATACTCTATGAATATATACCTAGTATAGTATAATGTCGCCAAGTTACTCCCGGCATAGAAAGGAAGGGGTGGCCCACCCCTTCCTTTCCCGTGTCTTAAGAGAAACTAAGGGAATTTATAGTAGAGTGATGGGCAGCAGCGTCTCTTTAAAACATCTCTAAAAGTCTAACTGCGGTTGCCGACCCGCCTGCCAAGCGTGGCAATTGCTGGCAAAACTCTCCATATGGGGAAGGCTTATGTTCAGCAGTGGAAATAATAATAAAATAGTATAATGAATTATATACTTAGGTATATCACACTTAACTGAATTTAAAAGAATGATAAAGACAAACAGTAAGTATGATATACCTAGACATCGTAAAAAAATACACAAGTTTTAAAAATACTAATTTAAATCGGTTCGGAATGAGCAAAGGTGTCACGTAACATAATACAAAAAGGTTGATAGCTAGTACAAAAATAGGTAAATTGTGAAACTTGAAAGTTGTTTTGAAAAATGACACCGCCCTTTTTGAAGTTAGTAAAAAAAGTCAATGCACTAATATTACAGCTGAATTGAGAAACTCTTACATTTTAGTAATTAAAAAATTCTAATGAAGTGGACCGGATATATAGTAATTGTAAATATGTAAGACTAGCTCTTACCCGCGACTTCGTCCGCGTGACCGGATAATAAGTAGCCTAAATCCTTATTCATCTTTTATCGTGTTTATTAAAATTTATAGTAATTGGTTAGGCTATTAATGAGCTATAAGGTAACAAACAAACAAACACATATTCATATTTATAATATTAGTAAGAATTACTTGACTTGGCAGATGCAGTTTAGCTTATTATTCCAATGTACGATTTATTTTTTCTTATTGGTATATGAATTGTCCTGTCTCTTTTCAATTTGAAGCAAATACTTAGTCATTTCATTTTCATTTAAGAGTTTCCTCTTGTCGGTGCAACTAATTCATGCATCTTCCTCCAGCCAGCTCTATCCCAGGCCATATCCTTTATCTCCCTATACGACATGACGCCTAGTGTTTCCTTTATCTGTCCCATGTAGTTAATCCTCGGTCTTCCTCTTCCTCTTTTGCCCTCTATCTTTTCTTCTATTATGCTCTTAAAAAAATCGTCATGTCGTATAAGGTGGCCCAGCATTTTGTCTCTTCTACTCTTTATTATTTCAATCAACGCTCTCCTCTCGTTTACTTAGTACACATTTCTAAAATTAAGCTCTTTCTGAGATTAGCGTGAACAAACATTGTGACTTGGGACGTTTAGGTATATTCTTTTTTTAATTAAATTATGGTGACAAACAAGCATACGGCCCGTCTGATGGTAAACGGGCATACCGTAGCCTATGGACACCTGCAACACCAGGGGTGTCACGCGCGCGTTGTCAACATTTAAAACAACCTTAATACGCCCTTTTTAAAGATCGAAGGCCTACCAATCTATTAATTTAGTAGCAGCTTTAGGACTTCGATCTTTCTTTTATGTCCCTTAACTTGCACTCTGTCCTCAAATATATATACTCGGCTTGCCCAATAGAGCAGGCATCCCGCCCCTCGTATCAAATAGAGAGAACGGTATGCCTAAACAAATGCACCTCTAACGGGGGGGGGGGGGGAAGGGATTGTTAGTAATGGAGACTGAGAATTTCATTGCTAGCAATATACCCAACCAGGTCGACCTCCTCGCGGTTCCCCCTGGAAACTATCATGGTTAATTCCTGATGAATTCATCATGATGCGCTAACTGGCCTGTTTTCATTCTCATCTATCACCCTTCACTGGTGCTCCGCCAGCGTATCCCGTTAGCGCAGGCGGGGTTACCATACCATTTTCACCCATCAAAAAAAAAATGCACCTCTAACTATAAAAAAAAGAATCACCTCATGCTATAATCTCTAGCAAAAAAACTACATACATACAGATATCAAGATATTCTAGTATTCTATTGAACCGTAAACTAAAAATAATAAATGATTTATTCGATCTATTCTCGACGCTTGATCGAAACGTTATTTTTATCGGAAACTTCTAATGGGGTATTGTGAATTATCGTTAAACAAACCCTTCATCAAATAACATTACAAGTTTAAGTATTATTACTTAAACGACTTGATAGATTGGTGATAAAGTCGTTTACCCGGTGAAAGGTGATCGTGACCACGACAAAATGACATGTCATTATTATGTAAACTAAAGTACTTATTAGGTATTTGTTTTGTAATATTTGTCATAAATAATCCATACCATAATACTTAGAACATGTAAAAGTTATTCTTGTGTCTATTTAATTAAGTACATCAAGTAGTACGAATACAAATAAGATTTATTTTAGGTTTTCAATTTGTCTCTTGATTTTGTGTATTACGTAAGTTTGAATTGATTTTGATTTTTTTTTTTTGTATTTAATAGGAATTACATTCGTGTTCTTTCTTCCATGTTAATTTTAAATTGTTTTAAATGATTTGTTATGACTTCTATCTTTTATGGAGTGTTAGTTTCCTGGTTTACACACACGTATATTTTAATAATCATATATCAAATCATTCACATAAAATGAAACCAAATAAAAATCAGAGATTTCTCCGAATTTTGCCCCCGTCAAAGTCGAACCAAATTTTAATAACAAAATTTTTAAAATCCTTTTAGATTCAGCTAAAAGGATTGGTAAAAAATGGAAATGAATTTATCAAAGAATTATTATATGTAACACACGAAACAACATAAGATAATAAAATATTGACAAAACACGGTTTAATACAACTATTTTGTCAATATTTTATCCTTGTGACCATTGAACTGTGCTGTACCTAACTACAATGATATTATCATATGTACAACAACATCTTAAACAATCATTACCTAATCATACAAAAAATACGTCAAGTATTTATTTGTACCTATAGTATAATTTACGACCTAACTTTTTTACTAGATCCTTCGGATTACAAGTAATCACAATTTTAATACCTAAATTGGATATTTTCTGTAACTCGCTAGGCTTTTAGTTGCGATATATTTTGTTACTATTTAAGTAAATATAAAGGTCCATAGAATCCTATTAATTAATTAATTAACATAATAAATGCGTAAATTTGTAACGATTGATGAATGGATGGATATTTGTTATTCTTTAACACAACAAGTATGTTATGACGACGGTTAAATGATAATTAATAACATGTAATTTTTTTTTTATGTTAACTATATAGACAAAATTTTACAGAAAACACACGGAAAACATCCATATTTTAAATTTATTCCAAATACGATTTCTGTCGTATGGTTCCATCATAGAATGGGCCACCTCTTTCTTTCACGTGGGTATCGAAAAAGAGGTTACAAAGGGAACTTAATGGTCGATCGATAGGCAGCAGCGTTCTTCTTAAAATATCTCCAAAGCCTGCGGTTGTCAATCTGCTTGCGTAACAACTATTGTCAAATACCCCCCTTATAGGGGAAGCCTTTGTTCAGCAGTGGACAGTTAACAGTTGATATGGTACTATAAAATCAAAATAGCAGTTAATTGGTTTTTATATAATTCCTTAATGTATGTAAAATAATTTTGTCTATGTACATACATAGAAAATGAAGTAGAAATAAAATAAAAAAAGCCTATGACCGTTTTATAAATTTAAATAGGTGTTGGTGTTTAACTATCAAAGTCTTATCAATTATCAGTCTAT